CATAAATCAAGAAAAATATTTACTGCAGTCACAAAGCTGCAATGAGATTGTTATTAAATTATTATAAAAAAGTAATAATAAAAACTATAAATTAAATAAAAATGTTATTTAAAAAGCAAATTGAATACACTTACCCATTGCATGATTTTATGCATGACGATTGACGGTGATCAATAGAAGAAACACAATCACAACACTGACTAACCTAACCTCAACCCTTTCTATTCGTTTATCTGACACTGAAATTTACGCTTATCTCAACCGAAGTTCAGTCTCAACTCAACTCTCAATAATTTGATTTTGAGACAATGACCACAACACTAACACAACAATGCAAGCTCGACTACCAAGTAATAATAGACAGTCCACAGTCGAGTAGCAACTACCCCGTACTGAGACGCAGACTAGATCGAATGGGTGAATCGAATCGAACTGAGAGAGAAATAAAATGACAGACGGCATCGTCCGGAACACTGTATGATGTTATTCACCCCCTCTCGTACACCAGCGCTTGGGATCGCGAGCGGCGAAGCGTGGAAACACAACACGTCCAACGCTAAACACTAAACAGCTGATTTACTTACAACCGTTATGAGTCATTATAACAAAGAGATCTTTGGTCTGCCTGCGTTTGCTGTTGCTCAACCAATGACGTGTCGTGTGTAGACTATCGTACGTCAAAATTTAGTCAGGTCAATCGTGAATCATCAAAAATAATTTGCAAATTTGAGCGAATATTGTGATTCATTGAATACCAAACTCACTGAACTGTACTAGAAAGTATGTCGTGATGACTTTTCATAAATCAATTTCTTGTAATATGTTTAGATTAATTTTATGTTTTTTGTTCGGATACATACATTATGTTTTATACTTGCAACTGTGCTAATTTTATTTACAATAAGATTGTTTTATTTCTTTTTCCGAATTTCTCATGTAATAAAAAAGCTTATTTTGCTATTAGGCTAATTATGGCAAATTCAACATGCTATTTACGGCACCACTAAGTTACCATGTGTATTTTCCTATAAAAAATGTTACTCGAATACCTCATCACTTAGGCGATTAAAAACCAAATTTTTGTCATACTGCAGAAAAACCCGCCGTTTTTAATGCATGCGTTGGGGATATAAAGTAGCCATTTTACTCTAGGGAGTAAAAAACCATTTTAGTCCATAGAGACTAAAAATCAGCAGTTATAAACAGTTGTAAATTTCTATTGTAGCAATCGTATCGATCGAAATTATTTATCGATTGATTTATTAGGTAAGGACTATTATTGTTGATCGCTCGCCATATCGATGGTGAAGTATGTTTTATAATTGACTAGCATTGACAATTGAATAGTCAAAGCTAATAGTCAAAGGTTTTATCTATGGTATTAATGTATTTGTAACACAATCGTAACATACGAAATGACTGAATCACTTACTTTATTTGCAGCCGCTTATAGCACACTTACAATTAGCCGCTGCATAGCCTATACTTATAACAATTGCTTATTTGCATTAGCAGAATTGAAAACCAGCTGGGAGTCGTTTTGAGATGTTATCTTTACATACAAATTATTTCGTTTCTAGCTTAGTTCGTTAATTAATTACGCAATACGACAAAAAATATAGTTTACCTCACGGTCAAAAAGAGCCACTGAGTGATGAAATATACAATTTCTTAGTACAAAAAACAATTTGTACCATTTCAACTGAAGGCTAATGCTATGTCACAAGTTACTACATAAGCAATCACTCCTTTTTACTAATTTTCTAAATGTAATAAAGCTAACATTAACCACAAATACCCCCGCCGCAGCAAACCTGCAAACTACTAAAGGCTCCGGTTCGCCGTTGACCGACCGCTAACGCTATCGCTTGCACAATTTGGCATAATTTTTACAGCGGGAGCGGGACCGCTATCGCCCGCTCCCGCTTCTAGTACATAAACGCAGACTAAGCGAATTTATCCATTTGTCTGATTGGATTTACACTAAAATGTCTCCTTAAAAATGTCACATTTATTCCCTATTTAAATAGCATTAGTTAAACGAGTATTTAGGTTTGCTGCAACAGGGAGGGTAAAAAGTGTTTTTGTAAAATGTTAATAGTTAAGTATAAAATAAATACATTTTCCAAATGTCATCAAAATATGTTCATAATTAAGCAAACTATACAACCATTTACTTATTTTCCATAAGAATAACATGAGAATTTTAAATTTACAATAGGCATACATTTTTCAAGGGACACTTTCATTAAAATGGCATTAAACTTTTTAATCTCCACCCTCCCTTCAGCTGGAGTCGGACTTGAACAGCTTTAAAAAGCAAATAAAAAAATACTCTTAGCCAAGGGTTAAACTACAGTGTTCGAGTTTGTGTCGCTGATGGGTTTAGTTAGTTAGTTTTTTTTTAAAGTATAATTGGTATAGTTTTATTGAAGCACCATTGTTTATTGTTTATTTTATTTTAGTTCTAAGCTATTAATTGACATGACCAATGCAAATTTTCTATTAGTTATTTTGGTTCTATAAATGAGTTATGAGGCTTATTATATATTTGTTTTTAAGCTCTAAAATATTATTTGGAAAGAAATTGCTTACTTTTATGTTTTTTTTGTTAAAAAATGGTAAAAAAATTTTACCCCATAAACCCCTGTTTCTATATTCCGATCATGCTGATTCGCGAACTCGTTCGAATAAATGTAGGTTTACACGTTTATACCAAATTTGCTCGGATCATTTTTGCTCGAGTTATCGTGCTAACGGACACACATATTACAGTATCTATACAGGGTTAGTAAAAAGTCTGAGACCCCCTGTTAATTTTTAACGGTCCATACTAGAAAAACTAAACTCGGCACATCTTTATGGCATGTTATGAAGTACTTTTTGGGCATAACCGCCACTTGGTGTACATCCCCAAAATGGGGGATTTTGAGGGGAACTCAAAATGTTCGAATAGTAAGACCCATTGAGTGACCCCTCATTTTTAAGGTCCTGATAAAAGAAAATCAACAACGCAAACTGGACGTCTCTATCTCAATCCAGTAAAAAATGGCAGTCAACCCAAGTAGCACAGATGGTTGGGCCAACGTTGGTAAATTGTGGAGCCACACAGTTGGCCAACGGTAGAAATGTCACCTCTTTAAACTGTTTTCCAGCCAACCTTTGTCCAACAATGGCCCAACCAAAATTATTTCACACAAAATAATAAAGATTTAGTACGAAAAGCATAATTATTAGTTGAGTAAATTGATTAAATAGTTCATAAAAACAAATTTTGAAAAAAAGCTGGAACAAAATTTTTTGGCCCAGACGGGTCTCGAACCCGGGTCCTTCGACTAATGAGCCTCTTACCTTACCACTGAGCTATCTGTGATTGTTGATACAGAGAGTTTTCAAGTGGTGAAAAAGTAGCCGACAGTTGCAATGGTCGCAATACTTCAAACATTTTTGATACTACACAGTATAATATGATTCTGTTAATCTGTTAAGGCATCATAAGTAGTTATTTTTTTTGGAGTTAGAGAGGATACTGGTATTTGAATATAGATTAATTAATTACCGCTAGATTATTAATGCTATTATAATTGACTGTTATATGATTAATTACTCTTTCCCCTTAAATTGTTGCAAATAAGTTAAAGAATATTAATTTAAAAAATATTTGCATTATTATAATTATTAAAATTCATTGTTGTAGCCCCGGAACTGTAATATATAAATTATCTGGTTTTACAATACCTTTATCAGTTCCAAAAACTTTTGGAAACTTTTGGAACTGATAAAGGTATTGTAAAACCAGATATTTTATTATAATTATGTTGTGAAAGCTAGACCCAGAGAATGAAAGTCGTGTAAACTCAACTATGGACCATCGTTGGTCCAACAAAAGTATCTTTTGTTGGTCCAACGGAGTGAAAAACGGTTGGACAACGGTTGGCTTGATGTATGATACCCAACAATGCATATTAATGTATTTCATTAACAATGAACCGATGTTGGTCCACAGTTGTAAATATTGGTTGGCCCAACTACGAGATATACAGTTGGACAACGGTTGGTTGGTTGTGGAAGCTCCAACCAACCATCGACCAACTGTCCCACAGTTGGCCAACGTTGGCCCAACCATCTGTGCTACATGGGAATTGAAATTCTCAGAAGTTAAATTTAACTTATACGTACAGCTTTCCAAGTCTGGAGACTCCCTGCAAATTGTGTAACGGCTCACACTAGGAAAGAAAACTAAACTCTACACACCTTTATGGAATGTCATGAAGTACTTTATGAGCCTAATTGCTACTTGGTTCCCAAACCCAAAATGGGGGATTTTGGGGAAAACTCAAAAAGTTTAAAAGTTAAGCCCCATTGAGTGACCCCTCATTTTGAAGGTCTTAAAGGTGTTAAAAGAAAACTAACAACGCAAACTAGAGGTCTCTATATTCACACAGTAAAATATGACAGAATATTGAATATAAAATTGCACTTGATTCTGATATCTAAAGATTTCAATCAGCTGCCATTTTTTACTGGAATGAGATAGAGACCTCTAGTTTGCGTTGCTAGTTTTATTTTATTGTGACTTTAAAAATGAGGGGTCACTTGATGGGGATTACTATTTGAAAATTTTGAGTTTCCCCCAAAATCCCCCATTTTGGGGATGTACACCAAGTGGCGGTTATGGCCAAAAAGTACGTCATAACATGCCATAAAGATGTGCCGAGTTTAGTTTTTCTAGTATGGACCGTTAAAAAATTAACGGGTCTCCAGACTTTTTACTAACCCTGCATATAAAGCCAAAAGTACCCATGAACTTTTGAGAAAACCAAAAGTAGCATAAAGAGCAAACAAATCAAACGCACTAAGTTCAACAGTGTTTTTTTCAAAGAAAATTATTTATTAATTGACATTTTTTATACATTAGCAACTATAAAATAAGCATCTAACCTCTTTTTACTTTCCTGCCTCTTTGATATGAGGGAATTCCTCTATGTTAATTGATAATGGTTCCCGGTGAGGGTGTGTAGTTTGTCAAAAGGGCCTATTTTGTAATCTATGCCTGCAGTTATAATATGTCCAGTCTGAAAATTGGTGAGTTACGACGTATTTGTTTAGAAGATTAGTTATTTTAAAATATTGAATGTTTTAGCTGAGAGAAACTTTTGAACCGTTTGGCTTGAGTAACAAGACTCGCCTTGGTTTCTTAAAGATGGCCTGGCTTCTGCCAATATGCTGTTTGGGTGGTTCAGGGTAACCCATTTAGACTTGGCCATATACAACAAAATTGTTATTGATAAATTCATTGGGCGTTTTTGTTATAAATTGCTTTGTAATTTTTGGAATATTACGTTAGAATGCTGTATGGTTATTTGTTTACCACACTTACACTGTCTGAGAACAATAATCACCTCAACCTGATAAAATTGGACCTACAATCTAATTTCATTGTTATGATATGTTTTATTTCATTATTTACGAATATATGTATGTAAGATAAAACGAATGACCATATACACTTGTATACTTCTTGATAGGTCTAAAACTAAGCCAGACTACTTAGCCTACCGGTATAGGTTTGTTAAATTTATGGTAGAGGATGTTATAGTGAACAGTTGATAATTTCTATTCACACTGGCTGTTTTTGCGGTATCAAAATTAACTTAGTGGCTTAAACACAACAAAATAACAATTTCAAATAGGCCTACTTGCACAAAAGCATCTTTTTCAAGCATTTTTGAAATTGTTATTTTGTTGTGTTTAAGCCACTATTTCAATTGCACAAAAACAGCCTGTGAATATAAATTATCAACTCTGTTCACTATAAACCTACACTTTAACTTACCTAATCTCTACCTTCAAAGGACTTAACACAGTCACGAATCAGCATTAAGTCCCACTTGCTTTCCACACATGCCTAAAATTCAGTGCTCAGTTGTGTTTTAGATAATGTCTGTAAAACCTTCTACTCTGAATGCCTGTGCATTAACTTACTTTATCCTTTTCTCTTCTCTTCAGTTGTTCATATTTTCATTTTATTTCAGTTTTAGTTGACCTCAGGCCTGGAGACAAGAATGTAGCCTAAATAGAATAAATCAAAACTTCAAACTGTCTTAGTTAATATTCGAGATCTCCAAACATTTTTGTACCATTATTTCCATGTTAACTTAAAAGTGAGTCTAATACACTAATAGTTGAGTACCGGTACTTTAAACTTAATCACTCAGAATTAAACGTAAGATATAAAGTTTCTGGTGAGGAAATATTTTAGGCTAACAAATAGGTTAGGCCGTTAGGCCTAACTTAGGAAAGGTAGTCAATTTACAAAAGTAAAAAAAACTTTAAATGGCCGTAGTTCCCTTAATATTTATGAGCGCGGAGAAATTTTAGCACCATTATTTTCAGCTATAAATCTAGTTTCTGGTGATATATAAATCTATATAGGTTCCCATGGTCACATTAAATATCACAAATTCAATTAGGCCTAACTTAGAGAACGCAAGATAACTCATTTTGAATGTGTTTTCTAATTCAGCTTTAGCGTAGAAGGCTACCACGGTTACCTAAGCCTTAAAAATACTATACAAATCATCAGGTCCAGGTCCTTATTAGGCATAGGCCTACGCCATATTTTTCCAGCAGAAACTAACTTAAAAAGTTATCAGGTTTGTTGTATAAAACAGCTAGGCCTAAGTTAAAATCTTAAACTTATTGTTCCCTTTTTAATATCAGGGCTAGCAAAATCTATTTCAATGCCAATGAATAAGTACAACCATTAGGTTACCGTAATCAATTGATAAGTTATGTTAGCATAAAATATGAATATGGGAAGACTTGTTGAGTATGAACAGGGCCGTTGCGTGGGTGGGGCGCCGCTGGGAGCGCTGCGGGTGCCACGATAAAAGTAATACAACAAAATTGAAAAAAAAGGTTAGCATAACAACGCATTTTGGAAATTATGTATTTAGCTGAATTTGGAATATTACGTTGTATAAAGTATTTACTGAACAAATACATATTATTTGACACCAATCACTTTATATTTATATTTGCAACGTTTTCCCAAATTAAATATTTTATGTAAATGGAGTAGGTGATTTGCTTGTATAACTTACTACCTTTAGTTTAGTGTAATAGCCTAATATTAACCCCACTGTGAAGCTGAAGGCCCTGTCCCAACTTAATTATCTGAATATCAATATTGCAATGTCTTATTTCACCCGACCGGCCGACAGCTGACCTTGGTTGGGACTCTGACCATGACTCATGGTAGAGACAATGACTTAAATATGCACGTGTTGTCATGTCGCCCCTCCCCCACCCACCACCAACCCCTATCCCAATCACTCCTTTCTCTTCCGGCAGTCTCAGCTCAGCTGTCAGCTTAGTTTGATGAGTGATACGAGTTATTTACGTGAATATTGTGTCAGTGTACATTCAATATGCACTGTATTGTCAATTTTTAATAACAAATATAGTACTTTTATAGGTTTAAATATTTTCTTACATTAATTGTATGGGTTTGATTATCACCAACTAAGATTTTCAAGTAATTTAATCCCTGATTCCTGATTCTAGTATTTTTGTAAGGTAATATCCTTTAGGTGTCTGTTGTTGGGAACTAAAACGCAGATAGCGATGCAACCCGCCACGCAACTTTGTGTAACGAGCATCACTCATTGTGTGTTTTGGGGGGGTGGGGCGCCTGACAACATCCCGCCCCGGGCGCCAATAAACCACGCGACTGCCCTGAGTACCTATGAAAATATATTAACTTATTAAGTTCATAGTCTTTCAAGATACTTTCTCAATGTTATATATGTGTTTAGCTGTTATAACAGTACTTTACTGTTATAGGGAACATTCATTATTATCAATGATTTTTTTTTTCAATCTGATAAAAGATATATAACAAATTGAAACATATTTATTAGCTGACAACTACAATAAATACATATTATTCACTATCAACACAACACAACAAACAATTACAACAAAAACAACAAACAAACAAACAATTACAAAAAAACAAAAAAACAACAAAACAAAAAAACAAACAATTACAAAAAATATTAGGCTAAGTTATATTAAAATGAAACTGTTACAAACTAACCAAACTTGTTTTAAGTGTAAGTTACCTTTAAAATTCCGTTTTATATTCCCCACATGCCTTTTCTGTTATCAAATGGAATTTTCAAAATGGTACAATAGTAAGTTTGGTTAAGTTTAGTTATGTTAGGTTAGTGTAAAACAGTTTTATTTCTCAATCCGTTATAGGCCTACATATTTTTGCCTAAACAAGATCAGTTGTCAATTTTTAATTTAAATGTGTTTGAAGATATTAAAACAGAAGCAATATGGATTGTAAAGGAAAACAAAAATATCGATATATCGAAAAAAAAGTCATCGATAATGTAATGAATGTTCCCTATAACAGGAAAGTACCGTTAAACTTATATACATAAATTAGGTAACCTACCCAAATTTACACTACCATAGCTTATTAGGTATCCCTTAAAGTTAGTCTATTTCATTTTACTCTTAAAACAGTAAGTTTGTGATGGAAAGTGAAATGTTGAAAAAATTAAAAATACTTTTAAGTTAAGTTAGGCTTTATTGCGTGATGACTTAAATACAGTAACAGAATTATAAAAGCCTTGTTCTTAATTAGATTAAGTTATTGGGAGCCTGAAATGATCAAATTTAAAAATTTAATCTGGGTTGTTATAACTTTGGGTTTAACTTAATAATAGGGGTGTTGTGTTAATCATTAAGTGTGTTGCTAGCCTAGTGGTTAGCGTCTTCAACCTCGGTGGGGGGGGGGGAAGGGTTCCAATTCCCGGCACATGCACTAAACTATAGGCCTAACTTTTGGTAATATTTTTAACAAAATATAAAAAAAACAGGCTATACAACACATTCTAAAGTATGAGCTCAGTAAATTTGATTTGTATAGCACCTACAGGTATTTTTTAATCTGTGGTCAAAGTTGTACTATGTGATTTGGTACGAACACTTACCCCACTTCACCTTAGGCCTACTTTTAAAAAAATCAGCAGACTTATTTATAACAAAAATGTAAGTTATGTAATCTGATATAAAACGTTATGGCCCTAAAGAAACCTTAATTGTTTAAGTAGCCTATTATAAATAATAAAAAGCCTACCCACTTTTTGGCAGGGGTATTTATTATGAGAGTTTTAAATTCATCATTTGAGATAGCCTAACAAATTAATTAATTAAGTTTTGTCAGGCTCTCTATTGGGTATTAATTTATTGTAAACTTATAGCCTATATTTAGCTATTTACTGTGCATACATTTAGTCGGCGAGATTTAAAAATAGATCATGTTAGCCACTTTTTGTGACTTAGGCCTATCTAAAAAAAATTATAAGTAAATTAACTTAATATCTAAGTTAGATGTTTCCTGTCAAACACATAAATAAATAACTTATATAAGACCAGCTACTTGGGCCACGGTCGACAGCCCTTGTTGCCTAGCTTATTTTACATTCAATATGAATTTTTTATAATGGTTTTGACAACCAGGGTCTTTTTGACCCCACGATAGCATTTTAATTCAAGCTGATTGTTCCTCTTGAGATATAGATTAACCCTAGCAGTGGCCAATGTTGGAAGGGGGGAATGACCAACACATTTTGGCGATTTTGCAGACCTTTTTATGAAAATTTGTAAAAATTCAACCGTACAAGTATACCTAGCCAACCTTATATTTATTTTGTTTGGAAAGAACAGGAGAATCTATAAATAGTAATTTTAAATGGTAAAAATACACTAAATACCCCCGCCGCAGCAAACCTGTAGACTAAGCGAATTTCCATTTCCCTGAATGGATTTACACTAAAATGTCTCCTTAAAAATATCACATTTATTCCCTATTTAAATAGAATCAGTTTAAAACATACTTAGGTTTGCTGCAACAGGGAGGGTAAAAGTGTTTTTTATGTAAAATGTTAATAGTTAGTAAGAAATAAAAACATTTTCCAAATTTGGGCAAAATATGTTTATAAACAAGAAAACTACAACAGTTTACTTATTCTCCATAAGAATAACATGGGAATTTTAAATTTACAATTTTTTGGAATTTTCTCCGTAACCATTAGGCGCATTATAACGCTTCAATATACAACAATAAATTATTTGTTTTTTTAAGCTCTGCAAAAGAGTTTAGAAAGAAATTGCAAAATTTTATGTTTTTTGGGTCAAAAATGGGAAAAACCCATTTTTACCCCATAAAAGCCCCCATAAACCCCCGTTCCCATGGTCCGATCATGCTGGTTCGCGAACTCGTTCGAATAAACGTAGGTTTACACGTTTGTACCAAATTTCATCAAAATCGGATCATTTTTGCTCGAGTTATCGCGCTAACTGACACATATATATATATATATATATGAATTTGAATGGATGGTGTTTTTGACCTCTAGGGACTTCAAAACGAAAAAAAAAACGGTCCCGGGTCCAGGTCTTACCGTGAGTACTACGGTAATAGCTTATTCCCTATATGGGAAATTCGCTAAAATAAGAATTTTTTTTTAATTTCAAAAGCAGCCTCGGTAAAATTTTTTCTACAGATTTTTTATGGGAAATTCATTATAATACATTTTGTAGACAATCTAATGCCCTACATAGAAATATATAACATGTTAGGAAAATATCTTTTTTATAAGTTTTGGGGCAAAATATAATAACAAACGGAGAACCGACAAAATTGAAAACCAAACAGTGTTAGTTTGTGTTGTAAAAAGTTATATAATAGCCTATATGTGTAAACTAATAATGATATATACATGTTTGTAAAGCTAATAAAGTAAGGAATACAAAAAAGTCATTAAGTCTATGGTTAAAATAATTTTTATTTATTTAATAAAATAATGTTTTTGTATTTTAGCGATTTTGTAAAAAAAAAGTTCATAGTAGGCCTATTTAGGCCTAGTATAAAACTTTTGTACCAAATGATTTTACTTCAAACCAACATAAACACCTTGTAGTGCATTCAATTACCTACATAAAAAAGTAATAACATGTTGGGTAAGAATTTTTGTTTTTACGTGCTAAGGGCATAATAATATAAATAAACGGAAAACCGCAATATACAACCGCAAAAAAATGCAAACTTTTATAAACACAATTTCACACTATTCAGTATATATTCATGCATATAAAATGCATGAAGATTACTGTTACACACACACACACACATTTCGCTGACAATACGAAATAATAACGAATTTAGTAATCAATCGCGGATAAAACGAGGGTGAAAACTCACCGGCAACAACACGCAATGGCGAATACAAGGCACTTTGTGTATGAGACCTTGACAGTAGTGACGCACTTTCGTCGTCTTAGAGAGAGAAAACGGAAATAACCCTGAGCGAAGGGCTGCCACTATCACAAGCTACATTTCTTCCTCTTCAAAATTACATATTATATGACTAGTAATAATAACTTGCACTGTATGTAATTCGTATTTTTCATACTAGCGTAAGTTCAGAATGTGATGTTTCGAATGGTATATTACGTTCGTATGTTCGTTGGTATGTTATGTTCATATCAGAGTTAATTATAAGTGGTTTTTTCACCCTTAAAAAAATTTTGGCCCATACTAGAGTATTACGCTGGTGGCCATTCTAGGCGTCATGGCAAACGAGTTGGCCACTGATAGGGTTAACAGCTGTTTTTACAGCAAAACTTCCCATCTGTAAATAGCCTAAATAACAGGACTTAAGTAGATCTTAAAACAGTGGCGCAAATTTGGGCCAACAAAATTTCGGGCTCTAGGCCTAATTTAAATAGCCTTATTAAAAATCAATGTGCAGCAAAAATATTGCTAAACTTGGTGCTAATGTGAAGAATCTGGACTGACATATCAGTTGCGCAAAACTCAGACAGTACCTGAAGGGCAGTGATAGATTCAATGATTTGTTGTTCTAAAACAGGACTTTAGTCTCTACAGTGATCTATCCCTCTCACCGTTCTCACTTATGCTGTTAATCTAATTATCAGTTAATTAAGATGGGGGTGCTACCTAAGTGCGTATTTTAACCCAAATAATTGAAGGATGAGTGTAGAATAGTGTGAGATGATCTGTGTAGCTACTATGATCAGCTGTTTCGTCAGCCAGGATCATTTATTTAAGGCCAAATGATCAGGGACAGCTGGGTGCTGTTTTGAAACATCAAGGAGCTACTGACTTTTCTCATGTTAGGCGAGCACTTTCAACACTCAGCTACACAGCCATGTAAAAGAAACTTTTAACAATTTAAGAATGTAAAGTTCCTGTTTATTTCAAAACCGTTTCTCTTAGTGCTTGCCCGCACTATTGCCCTTGTAGTTTTGATTTTTGATAGTTGCACTGTTTGTTGTAGTGTCACGGAATGGTAGTGGTTGAGATGGTTATGGTGTAACAGACGACATGAGCATGTTGGACTCACGATCAGTGACTGCGGATAGACACCTCATCAAGAGCAACGGAGTGCGGCCCCCACCCCACCACATGGCCGCCATGCGATCACATAGTACGTTGGTCAAGGCTATAGGTAGTTGTGTTACTTGTTTTAGTTGTGTAAGAGTTTTTTATTTGTTTTCAGCATGAAAGTTTTCCCTTATGGAATCTATAGTTGTAGTAGTTTGTTTGGTCAAGAAACAGTTTTGAGATAAAACTCTCTCTAGGGAAACCACTGTTACTGTAGTGTTCATAAATAAAACTCCTTGGCTCTTATGTTTTAGGATTCCAACAAGCCAATAAACATTGTGTATTGAAAACTGATTATGTAGGCCTAGGCTGTAATATTCTATATATTGATATGCTCTCATACTGTAAACAGATGTCACTTTTTTTAACATCCTTTTAAATGATGGGAGCCACCGACAAATTGTGCTGATATTACTAATTTTGGTTGAAAACAAGTCAAACTTATGCAATGACTTATTGTGATCTGTAGCAAGTGTTTTGACCCATGAACTGTGTTTTAACCAACAAAAAAAAAAGACAGAATATAGAATTGTAGACAAAAGCACATTCTGTCACTGGCTCTCTCAACTATATTCTGTTTTAATAAACAAAATTGGTGATCGCTAGCCCATATAAATGGAAAGTCTACTTCACTTTCCAATAGTCAATGCTTTGACAAACCCCATGTAAATTTAGACCCCACGTATGTAATTGTTATTTTTAGTTTAACCTAGGAACATCAAAGACGAAATGTAGCCTATTTAGTTGAATTCGCTAACCAGCCTAGTCCAACCTTGAAAAGGATTTTTTAATGCTGATTACACTTTTAAACCTAATTTTAAAAAATTTAAAGATTTTAGAACCAGTACAAATAATTGTTTCAGGCAAGGCAGGTCAGGATGACGTGTGCTATGTGGTGGCTAAGTACGATTACGCCGCGCAAGGCGCACAGGAGCTGGATTTGCGCAAAAACGAGCGCTATTTGCTGCTGGACGACTCCAAGCACTGGTGGCGAGTACAGAACGCTCGTAACCAAGCTGGCTATGTGCCGAGTAACTACGTCAAGAAGGAAAAACCATCCTTGTTTGACAGGTAAATACTGTCAGACAATAAGTCAGTTTCATGTAAATTATAATTATTTTATGATTACATTTTTGACCTAATTAAGCTATTAAATTGTAAATGTTTTGCTATGTTAGTTAATTGTTGAAATTGTTGTGCAATGTACACAATAACAAAAGTGAAAATGGTTGAGGAAGATTTTTTTTGCGCATGCCCATCAAGTTATTTATTTGACTTCCTTAGACAATCTTTTTGTAGTTCTAAACAATCCACATCTTAAGGTTAAATATTATGTTGTAACCAAAAGTCTGGCAATAAATAAATAATTTGCTTTTAGCATCAAGAAAAAAGTAAAGAAAGGGGGAGGGGGCAGTAAGACGCTGCCCTCAAGCAGTTCACCTCACCGCGCGATGGAGAGTCCAACGACAGCACGGCGACTCCCAGCTGATCCGTCAGAGGCCATCGGAACAGCTGTTGTCAAATATAACTATCAGGCCCAACAACCCGACGAACTTAGCCTCATCAAGGGGACGAGAATACTCATACTGGAGAAGAGCAATGATGGGTGAGGGACATTAATAAACACAGCGATTCAGTAGTTTATCAGTATCTAGGAAATAATGTAATTGTAGGCCTAGGCTATATATCGTATTTCATTGTCTACAACTTACAAGTTTGTGAATTGTATAATAAGAAGGACAGCAGCTAGCTTACCTTGAAGAAGGGCAAGTAGGCCATATTGTAGAAATATTTCATGTTCGATCTCGATTTTATAAGAAGATTTTAAACATATCTAGATCCTGTGAAAAAAATAACTGTCCACTGATACTTTAAATTAGTAAACTAAAAACTAAAATGCCAAAGATTCAATTTATTTCAATATAAAAAGGGACGATTTCCTTGTTATTTGAAGATTATTCAAACTCTCAGCAAGTGTCCTTGAATAGCCACTGTGTTGTGATTGGTAAAGTATTTTGCCTTTTAAAATTAATTTGAGTGGTAGATAATGTAATTTACCCCAATAAACTAAGGACATTCATGGAATTGCTTCCATAGTCACATATTCTAGAATCATGGTCGTTGGCTGACCTTACCAAAACTGAACTGATCACTAAATCCATTATCCTTTCATAGTGTCATGTTCATAGGCGATTTTACTTCCAGTCCAAAGTTGAAGGTTGAAATTTCAGTATTAATTGAAACTCTGCATCCATAGAATGTCTGGTACAGATGATGCCGTCGTGACTTTGTCGTCCAAAGACCACCATCTTTGACTATTGGCAGAAGTAGTCGTCACATTCAATGTTAACTGTAGGCACAGTACAAGTGCTGTCAATAAATTAAGACCAACCTAGTGATCATTTTTCCACCACTATTGTAGCCAGCTTCTACCCCTTTTGCGAAGATTATTCTCTTCTTAGTACAGCAGAACTCCAATTATGCAAATCAATTGGCACGATAACTCATTTGGATAATCAAAAATTAAACTAATTGAATTTTTATCAAAATTCAAGGTATTTTACAGAAAATAGACTGAGTCTTTTACTATTGCGATCGCAGAACGCCTCTGCAAAGATTTCACGGTCGAAAAATTCACGCTTTCGCCCCGATAGTGGAGGAAGTATAATTTGGCATGCCCAGGGGAGACGAAGATTATTTCTGTAAGACCACAGAAGATGTGATATATTTTGCCGCGATCGTGAAAAAAGGCAATGTTTTTTCATCACAGCCTCTGCCTTTTTTTTAATATTCTTATTACTGTTGTTTTATATATTTTCAAAATTCTTTGTGCAAGCAATTTGGATAATTGGTGATTCAGATGGTCAAGGTTTGGATAATTGGAGGTATACTGTAGTCTGTGAGTGGATCTTTTAACTATGGCTACAGCTAGTCCATATATATAACATGTCTACTTCATTACCGTATTCAAAAGTCAATAAGACAAGAATTGAATCGTAAAAGCAGTGAATAAACCTGTAAAAACAAGTGTTTGAAGTGACATTTTGTCAGGTGGTGGCGAGGTCAGAGCGGGTCGCAAGCTGGTTGGTTTCCTAGCAACTACACGCAGGAGGAGACAGATGCGGACGACACATTACACACGTACGCCATGGCTGAGAATGTGCTGGACATTGTGGTGGCCCTCTACAGCTTTACGTCCACCAACGACCAGGAGCTGAGCTTTGAGAAGGGTGATCGGCTGGAGATATTGGACCGGCCACCGTCGGACCCTGAGTGGTACAAGGCAAGGAACAGTCACGGACAGATCGGTCTGGTGCCCAGGAACTACCTACAGGTCAGTAGTTCTTTTTTAAATGTTTTTGTACTAATGTATACATTAACTAGCATTCGTCATAAAGGGATCCAAGCCAGATTAGGTTTCCTATACTTATTCTGGCCAAGAATACCTAACCTCAAAATATACAATAGACTTTCATTACTCATTCTTTCCATTTTTACTTGTCCCATCCTATCATTCTTTCCTCTTCTCATCATGTATCTTTCTAAACCTTGGATGGAAGACTGGATGTTAAACATTCCCCAATCATTATTCATAAGAACAATACCATCAACCTAACCATCTTACGAGTCCATCACCAAATATGTTGTCTGATTGCAGGAGTTGAGTGAATACCTGACGCAGCCGCTACGTGAGCGTGTTGGAACGGGCGGCAGTGGAGGGGGCGGTGGGGGAGGAGATAACTTACCTGACAGACCGCACCTGGTGGGCAAACCTTGGTACTACGGAGTCATCACTCGGGCTCAGTGCGATACCCTGCTCAACCAACAAGGCCACGACGGCGATTTCCTCATACGGGACAGCGAGACCAACGTGAGTACAAACTGCTGTAGTGAGTAAAGCTGCGGGATTGTGAGTGCACGTTTTACAGTGTTTTACATTTTTCGGCAAGAGTATTTTCCTAGAATTGTGATATTTCACTGCGGAGTCTGTTTAAATGTAAGAAGTATTTTTAATCGGAATGAGCGTCGTTCTGCAAAAATTTATTACCTACAACTAGTTCTAGTTTTAGTTGTTTATCCTTTGTAAAAAAAATGTTTGTACTGCACTACTAAATGATAAGGATAAAAGTTTGAACTCAATAAATTTTCAAGTTTAAAGTTGAATTTATTGATTATTTTCATAGCCTCCTCAAATACAAGGCTGCGACGTTGGTGTGTGGCAATGCAGGAACTACATAAGTGTTAAACATATTTATAACTCAATTACTATCATAACTAATAATTTTATATTAACACCATCGTTTTCCTCAGTATCATATCTACAAATGTGCAAAGATTCAGAATTTTTTGTCAACTATTAATGTTGTTTATAATTGTGTATTTGTCGCGGGGTTTTTAATGCGAACTGTGCTCACGGGCCTTGGATTCAGGCTGTAGGACGGACCAAGATGGCGGTTTTGGCCACACTTTCAGTGCATTTGGTTAAACGCTGTGTCCTCTCTATTTTATTATGTGCTCGTTGGTCTAACCGTGGTCTTGTATTAGAGGAAGGTAGGCCTATGCTTTTATCCTCCAGAACCTACACTTAAAAAATGAGTAAACCAATTAAAGTGGTCTACTTTAAGTCACTGTCACAACATCGCAACTCACTACTGCAGCCTAAACTAAAGAAAAGTATCACATATTTTTTGCGCGAGCAACTGAATTTCGCAGCTAGGTAAACCAGCCTTTGTTATAACTTTATGGTACTGTAGAATGATGTACTCTTCTTGGGCCAAAAGTATCTAGACAATGGGTACATTTAGATTTGGTACTAATGTTCTCTTCACACCTACTTTCATAACCTTCTGTTCCTATTTTCATGTCTGATTATTTTCCCAGCGTACTATTACTATATGATGTGACTGATGTTGGTAGATGGGTGATTACTCTGTGTCGCTCAAAGCGCCTGGCCGCAACAAACACTTCCGAGTGCACGTGGAAGGTGCGCTCTACTGCATCGGCCAGCGCAAGTTCCACACTCTGGACCAGCTCGTGGACCATTACCAGCGAGCGCCCATCTACACCAACAAGCAAGGCGAGAAACTCTACCTTGTCAGACCTCTTCCGCGGTCCAACAACAACTGCTAATCCGTTACCAAAGCCAGAACAGTTTAGTTTAGTTTTTTATTGCTTGAAGCGTATTTCAGTGTGATTTATTTATTAAGTGAGCTGTGAAACGGACACGAGCTCCCTTCGTACAACGATGTATTTTGTTTTGAACGGCGGCTCAAATTTTTTTAAAGTAAGATTTTTAATTTTCCGAGAGTATTGTGCTGCTAGTCTCGACAGTGGATGGACGGCCAGACAGGTTGTGATGTGATAAACTAGAATGGTCCACGATTCGATGGATTTTTATATGATGGAAATCGATCGCTTTTTCCAATTTTTGTATCGGTCCTAAGACACGGCTTGCCGGTTTGTAATGTATTTTGTATTTAAAATATATATATTTTGTAGCATTGTTACGATTCGAGTGTATATGTGTTGTATGAGTGTGCACATTTTTCGATGTTTAGTTTTTATAAGATCGTCCAAAGCCTTGGTTAGTTGTATTATTTAGCTTATCACATTTCTTCGACACCAGTAGTGTTCTTTATTTAGTATTTTCCATGACTTGTACGCGTAGTTTTATTTTCATCTGCTTTTTAACTCTTTTTTTCACTGTAGTATTTAAGTTTTACCAATGTACGAGGCTTGTGATGATTAGACTAAAATGTGTACAATTGTAACCATTGGATATGTTTTGACTAATCCAGTAAAAATGTTCAGTTTTCAGTATGTATTACAACTAATACTTCTTAGCCAATTAAATACCTGATTTCTGTTTTACTAACCAAAAGTAGTTAGCATAGATTCTGATCTGAACTAAAAGCACCCAATTAGTCAATCATCAAATCCTAATGCAGCAGGAAGAGAGTCGTTTTGTTTGATGTGAAGAAGACATCACCTTTCAACTGGCCGAATCTCAGAGTTTGGATATTAGTCTGATTAGTGTAGTAAAAAATTAATTAATGTTGTCATATACTGAGAACTTGTACCAGTAAGTACGGCACTATCAAAATAGTGTTTGCTTTTAAAAAATACTCCAGATGCTGTATATTCAACCTGTGTGTTATTTATTGCGAAGAAGTTTTATTTATTGTGTGAGACACTAAGTTTTGTTTGTTTTAATCTAATGGTTTTAACCCAGCGGCTGCAAGGTTGAACAGTTAAAGAATTCTATACAGTGATAATTGCTTGAAGTTAGCATGATATCGAGAGTAACATGTTCTGAGTTTAGTGGACGCTGCAGTGAAAATATTATTTCTTTCTGATATTCATAGCTATCTTGTTTTAACGAGAGTACTCCACATTGGAGCTATTGTTAACATTGCAAATATTGAAATTAACAACATTATCTGTGCTCATTTTTTTGTCACCATTGATTACTCTCGATATTTATGTTTTTAATTGTTTTTAACAATCATTTAATATTTTAGAATCATAATTTTGTTAGGAATGCATAAATATTTAGTTAGTTTACTTCACCTTTTATTATTTGGTGTTCTATAATATGTTAACAAAAATGGTTTGTTAAATTGTAAAACCTTTTTTTACTACACCGCACAAATCTATTCCTCCAAATTTGAACATGGCCTATTTGATAGAATATAGATGTGTGAATATTGAGCAAAGATAAATAAATTACAGACTTAGAATTAATTTTTATAACATTCAAATATAGAACAATCCATAAACAAATTGTCTTGATGAAATTTAGTCTTCTATTCACATATTTTTGTGTAACTACAAATTAATGCTGTATATGATCAATAGTAACATATCACAAAACACGGTGATTCAGTCTTGTTTTAAAACATTGATCTACAATATCACTAAAGAAGCAAAGTGTAAATATTGGGCATGGTAATTAATTAATTTTTTGGTCATGGTGTAAAAGTAAATCGTATATCCTATGACTTTAAATGCATTTTACAACATTAAAATTACTTGTTTACTCATGTAAATATACTTTTACAATTTCCATACTATTCATATTGTTCTTTCAATATAAAAAAAAATTGACTTGAAAAAAAATTTTGTTTCTATTATTTTTTATGATTAGATTATTTCATTTGGTTAAACGAGGTTTTAAATGACAAGAACAAATTGTAAACAGAAAACGACCCCTACAGTGCACCGGACAGAACTAATAGTAAAATTTTCTTTTACTGATCTATAAGGATGATAAATCTACTTAGGGAGTGAGTATGTTTTATCTGGGATTGCTTACAGTCGGTGGTGAGCCATGAAGAATAAATTTTAATATAGCCTACAAAAACCCCTCTAAAAAGCATTCCATTTTTAGTCTCAACTGACACAACTCAGCCTAACATTTTTTACATGTAAATCTTCCTTAATCCATTTTACTCAGGGAAAGAAAATTTGTGTATGTAGCTAAATAGTTAATCGATTGCATTTCATAGGCTAGGCCGAGTATTATATTACGCTGATTTTAAGGTTGAAACAAAACTAGTTAAGAAGACAAGATAAATTTACTAGCAATGTGGAAACTAAATTTGTTTTTTCAAATGAAGCCAAGCGCTGCTCAAACCTTTTTATTTGAGAGGTAAAGTAAATTTAAGCTTAAAGATACAATCTGACTTTTCGAGACTGGAAATGAAACAATATGTCTGAATTTATCTGATAAATGGTTTGTGTAATGAAGAGGCCTATAGGTTTTTACATTTGATACTTTTCTATCGTAGGATGCTCTTGAAACATTTGGATACGACCTTGCACTGATGGGCCTCGGTGACCTTGTTTCGATTTCCATAGTGTACAGTATTCAAGTGCTTTTTCATGTCACCTCTTAGCGTAAGCATTTAAAATATGTTTTGGCTTCCTTACTTGAGACTAATGTATAGAATGAGCTTGAGAACAATTATTTTATACTTTGCTTTTATTAGTTTGTTTTGTTCACCATCTTAGAATCAACCCACGTGCATTTTTTCTACAGTTACTCCAGAACAATTTTACATCACTATTTATTTATGAAGTCTGGTTCCGAAGACATGATCTTGTGGTGTCGCTATGTGTGCATCTGTCTGTGGCACAATTCATATGTGAACGGTTAACTAAGGTAGGACTGAGCCACTGAGTTTGCCTAGTATGCTGATGTATTTAGTATGTCAGTTACCATTACGTTTGTACAAAGTGTCATACAAGTTCCCCTATGTGTGTTGCCATAAATGTGGCTTTAATATTTAATAAGTTCATTGATATTACGTTAAGCTGAAATTTTGTAAAGGATGTTCTGAGGCATTTATCTCGTAAATGTTCTGCGATGTGATTCATGGTAAAAACTAACTCAAAAGTATAGATTTGTATAAGTTATTTTTTATATGAAAACTTCTGTGTGAATTTAGTTGAAATGATAAATTGCAGCATTCATTTTTGTCTGTGGTTGTGATTAGCAGTAATTTCTGTAAAATTGAAAAATGTCTAAGGTTTTATAAATACCACGATTAGAGAGCTGAATTTATTTATTTAAATTTGGAGTTGAGTCTATTGTTCAAAATGTATTTATCCTGAAATATTTTCACGCTCAATAATTTTGTTACTATTTTTGTGTAGATTACAATCTGAATCTGGTGACTTATTTTGTAAAATGTACTATAACTTGTTAAATAAATTGTGTCTTTCAACAACCAGTAATAATTTGAGATTAGTAGTTCAAAACAGCTTGTAGAATTTTACAGCAACTCAGTTTATTTTCTAGTCACTTGACAAAATACTCAGCATTACTGTGGCAGAAGAACAAAATGTTATCTTCAAGCTCAGTTCTATAAAAACTGTATGATTAATACATTGTATTTAAGGTAGCTTAATTTGTATAATATTCAATAAATTAAATAAATATTTGAATATTGTATTGATGACGGTTTTTTTCAATATCCTTAAACAAATGCAATTTAGAGCTCTCAACTTTATAATAAACTAGCTGCTGTACCCGTGCTTCGCAACGGGAAGAAAATTCAGTTTCACAATCATTGAAATAGATTTAGAATAAATAATCCTACCACATAGTTTTCTATATAAATAAAATTAGAGTTTTGTCTGTGCATTGCTCAGAATCATAAACTTTTAGGTTATTTTTACGTTTTATACATTAAAGAAACCGAAACAAGTCTCATCTAAATTTCTGTCTGTCACGGCCCAAGAGCCATCTTACGCGGCCTTCTCCTGAAAAACGAGAGTACCTATCAAGTTCCAAATAATTTTAATGTATTCACTGGATTGGCGAGATTGTCTTTAGCCATTAAAATATAGCGTCACTACTTTGTAAATAAAATGACAGACGTTTAAAAACCCAATTTTGTGCGATTTTTTGTAAAGTTTTCTCCCAATGTTTATCACACATTCATCTATGAAATAACGAACAGCTGTTCAAATCAAGATTATTTCTTACAGCTGTCACTGATATGTTTACATTGAATGTTGTTTACAAATACCGTAACCACCGATTCCGATCACGTTTTGAAAGCAAATGGAAACCAAGTAAGATTAAAAACTTGTTTCCTTACATAACGGATTTAATTAATCGCAAGTGCAATAATTTGTAGGGTAACCGTAAATGAAAATAGAGATTCTTTGTGTATAATATTGTTCTTGAGTTTTGATAACCGGGGAAAAGACCTTGAATCAGTGTTGTATATTGCTGGGAAACTTACAATTTTTAAATGAGCGTTTTCAGTCGAGACTCGGAACGAGACCGACGCGCGTCTACATGTCTATAGTAAAAATAAAAGTAGGCCTACCTTGTATTTATGTTTTATTCATCATGTGTAAAAGTGTACAGTTCGTGTATGTGTTTCAAAAACTCCCAAGACGCACCTAATGGGGAAGCTCAAGACCTTATATTAGGACTGATAATGGCGATTTAATTTTGCCGAAATGCATCTCCTGTAATAGGATACATTAGGATCGACCGGCGGACACAGGTAATTTAACCTTTTATTGATTGTCATACCGATCCGGAGCAACAACAAACAACATAAAATGAAGTTATGTTTGGCCAGCATATCTGAAAATATGCAATGAATTTTCTCATGCTTCCATGGAGACCAATTAATATTTACTTTTGAAAACCTCATTCCAAAGTGTTGGACATCCCAGGGGTTTAACCCGATAGGAACTCAGGGAAGGGAATAGGCCTATGACATTCTTAGATATGTGGACCATCTTTGTGCTTGATTTTGGCTGTATCGGTTTAGTATTTTAGTTGTGACAGCTGCCCAGACAGACACCACCTCAATTTTTTAATAGTATAGATAATGCTTTTTACTTTCTCCCCCTATACCATAGTATATGAAGAAAGTATTGTTTTCGTCTAAATTTTTTAATTGAGTTTTGAGAAATGGATATATCCGTTTTGGGTCCCCCTGGACCCAAAAAAGTGGTTTTTGAAGTGATGTCTGTCTGTGTGTCTGGATGTGTACAGAGCTACAGACCACACCTCTAGTCCGATTTTGATGAAATTTGGTATGTAGGCACTAAAG